TCGTACCCGTGGGGTGCGACTGATCGTCTACCTGGACGACATACTGATCATGTCCCAATCCAGGGAATCTCTGCTGTTACATTTGGGTTGGACAATCAACCTTCTCCAAAATTTGGGTTTTCTGATCAACTGGGACAAGTCGGTCATGGTCCCTACCCAATCTATAGAATTCTTAGGTTTCCAGGTGGACTCCATCAGGCAATTCCTGTACTTGCCGGAGTCCAAAGTGAAGGCCATTCAGAAGGAGCTCCGAAGGGCTCTTCGGGTGCCGGATATGTCCGTCAGGCAACTGGCAAGGATTATCGGCCTTCTGGCGGCTTCGATTCAGGCGATCTTTCCGGGCCCGCTACACTATCGTGCCCTCCAACGACTCAAGGGTTCACACCTACGTTCGGGTCGCTCTTACGAGTCCCGGATACGTCTGGACGACGAGTCCAGAGACGAGTTGGTATGGTGGTTGGCACACATGGAGGCCTGGAATGGCCGGGCCATCTTCGGTTCGGTCCCGGATGTCGTGATAGAATCCGATGCCAGCTTACACGGCTGGGGTGCTCGTTGTGGAAACGTTTCCACCGGAGGCAGATGGTCCGACATGGAGAGGTCCCTACACATCAATTGTCTAGAACTGCTGGCGGGGGCCTTCGCGATACGCAGTCTGACCCCAGGCCGGGCAGACTGTTGCGTTCTCCTCAAGATGGACAATGTGTCGGCAGTCCGGTACATAAATCATCTTGGGGGTACCAAGTCCAGAATGTTGGCACTATTGGCGAAGGATTTCTGGCAATTTTGTCTCCTCAACAACGTCTCGGTGCAGGCGGAACACATTCCGGGCCTGGACAATTCGGGTGCGGATTGGAATTCCAGGCACTTAAGAGACTCGGGAGATTGGCACTTGCACGTTTCGGTTTTCCGAGGTCTGGACAGTCTCTGGGGACGCTTCGAGTTGGACCTGTTCGCTTCACGTCTGAACACTCAACTCCCGGCGTTTTACAGCTGGAGGCCAGACCCGGCAGCAGTAGCGACGGACGCCTTTCTCCAAGACTGGCCTCCCGGACGCCTGTATGCCTTCCCACCGTTCAACATGATCGCTCGCACGATATCGAAGTTGGTCCGGCACGATTGCTGCCTGGTACTGATCACACCTCTTTGGAGGTCCCGTCCTTGGTTCCCACGCTTGATGGAGTTGTCGATAGACTACCCCAGACTGATTCCGAGCTTCCAGGATCTTCTCCTGGACCCGGATGGGAACTCGCACGAGCTGGTGCTCCGACATCAGCTACCTCTGATAGCGTGGCTCCTTTCAGGGGTACCTGGGTTGTCCCGAACGTTTCGCGGGCGACTCTGCAACTCCTCGATAACGCTTGGGCTCCAGGTACGCGATCGGCATACCGCTCTTCATGGGGCTCATGGTCTAGTTGGTGCATGGAACGGGCAGTGGATCCCGTATCTGCCCCTCTCCATCTAATTCTGGAATACCTCACTTTTCTGTTTGATTCGGGCAAGGCGTATCGCACTATCAACCTTTTTCGTTCCGCTATATCGGCTGGACATGTTGGTTTGGATGGTTCGCCCGTGGGCAGACACCCCTTCGTGTGTCGCCTGCTCAAGGGCATTCGCCTCGCCCGTCCGCCCAAGGCTCGTTTCTCTGCCTTTTGGGACGTTAACATTATGCTTCAGTTTCTATCTTCCTGGTACCCTTAAGCAACTGTCTTCCAAGTTGGTTATGTTGCTTTGTTTGGTTTCATGTAAACGGGTTTCTGATGTTAGGGCCCTCGATTGGGACGCCGTTACCTTCTCCCCTGAAGGTGTGACTTTTAATATTTCCAGACGGACTAAATCTGCATCAAGGTCTTTCGTATACCCTAGATTCCAAGGGTGTCCGGCACTCTGTCCAGTGGAGTGTTTAAAGGTCTATTTGGAGGTGACTCGACCTCTTCGCTCACTTGACCTACGACCTTTATTCATTTCTTTTCGTACTCCGCATCGACCTGTGGCGACACCGACCCTGGCACGTTGGGTGCGTTGGCTGTTGTCTATGGCTGGTATAGACACGTCTATCTTTACACCCCATTCGGTGAGGGGTGCTATGGCTTCCAAGGCTTCGACAGTCGTCTGTCGTCTGGAGGACATCATGCATGCAGCGGATTGGTCTCGAGAGTCGACCTTCCGGGACTTCTACTTCAGACCTATTGAACACATCGCATCTCAGGTGATAGCACAGCTTTGAACTTGCATAATATGAGCCTCCGTGTCTTTAATAAAATTCCCAGATTTTACTATTAACATGACGTAAAGTCATGATTTTATTAAAGACACGGAGGCGAGTATTATTCCCTCCCACCCTCCCGGTGTGGGGTATGGAGCGAGATGCGATTTGGCGTGTTCAGGTATGTTGGGTTTGACCTACCTTGGATGTACTTCATATGGTGTATTACATATACTAATTAATTATGTCTATTATATTTTTCAGGTTTCATTCCTTAACCTTATGACAGGTCACTAGTTTCGTATTGGTAAGTCTACAGTTTGGAGTTTGGTTATTACCATATTTCTCTCTCTTTTTTAGCTTGAAATTGTCGGTTTGTTCCAGTTCCCGGTTTTGACCAAGCAGGATATCGTTCTTCTTACCTGGTCTTCGGTTTTCGCAAGAAAGAGGGGGATTGTGGGAGACACAGGCCTTATATAGTCACTTCCTCTGTTATGTGATTGGTTGCCTGTGTATCTATACAGTTTTTTCTTTCATTTTTGATATATTTATATTCCTCTATCTTTGCTGCTGAGGAAATAAAGAAAGAGTTATGCATAATACTCGCCTCCGTGTCTTTAATAAAATCATGACTTTACGTCATGTTAATAGTAAAATCTGGGAATTAAATGTTGGAATTAAAGAAATCACAGAGCTATTTATATCAGTATGTATCATTACAGTGCAGTATGTCAGAGTACCCCATGCTGTCATTTAGTGTAATCTGACCACAGTGACCCCTATACTTTGTGGGCTGAATATTCTGTGCACCATGACTGACTGGCTGTGAATAATGGGGGTTACAATAAACAGCTGGTCGAATGCAAATATTCCTTAAACCAAACCATCCTAGCCATAAATCACCCAATTCCAGGAGTCCCAGCCATATGGATTCAGGACAGTCCTTATTTACAATCCTATCCCACCGTCCCCAATTTTGTAGACACTGGAAACCTGTATTCAGAATTCTTAGTGCAAGTGCATCATTAGCCACGCTCGTGCTATGTTTAGGGCTCTGGAGCCCTACCCAAGTGAGAAATATGTTTAAAGTTTAAACTGTGAAGAAAACAAAAGTTTTTAGTATCGTTTTAGCACATTATACGAGATGGGCGGATCAGAGGAAATCTGAAATTTGATGAATAAAGTGCTGACTTTCAAGTCATATATACAGCTTGAGCTCAGACACAGACAGCGATAAAGACCCAGGTAATCCCTTCCTGCCCACACCCCTATCTAGCCACAAAAATGCTGGAAATGATGGCCCTGTCATATGAAACAGTTCCTGAGACAATGAGCTGACTGAACGATGCACTATAAAACGGTGCTTGTGGGGGACTGGGATCCAGCACGCTGAAGGCAACTGCGTTTTAAGGAGACGTAAGAGTTTATTTGCTTAAGTGAGAATTTACAGTAAATTCAATGTGAATTTCAAATTTAATGCTACATTAGCCAAACTGAAGGCCTAGCTGACTTATTGAAATTATTTTTTAGCTCGGCTATTGTGACCTTAAATTTTAAATTCACTCTGAATTCTCACTTTTAAAGACTATGTATCATTTTTAAAGTTATAGCCTTTAAAGGGACACTCCACTACCCAGGTCAATACACTCCACTGCCCAGGTAGATATACCCCAAATGAAAACTTGCATGCATTTTATTATGCATTTTAATTGGAGGTGTATCCAAACACAACCTGCAAAAGCTGCAGATCTATTGTCTGCAGCATTTGCAAGTCCTCCCCTTCTAACCCCGCCCAGACTTTCTGTGGCTGTCCAATCACAGACTTCTCGGTGCAGCTCAATGAGAAGTCTTTGCAAGGCACGTGCTCCTGGCAATTGCTGCCTCTTGAGCCATATACTACGTCAGTGTTCCGAGTCCGCAAACCCGCCACCGCTCCTATAGGAGCAGCCAGAGACATAATTGCTGTCACAAGAGACATAGCGCCAAGATCTGCCATAATGAATCGCTCCAGAGATATGGGCACTTTGCACTTTGAAGGACACTCGGCAACACCATACAGCTACCTTCCGTTCTCCATCCTTATGGAAAAGAGAAAGTTGGCTCTAGTCGCCAGAAGTCTACATGACAATTCCATCAAATACCGATGAGGGGAAGGGGGATTCCTGATGGTCCCTCATGGGACTGAAACACTGACTCTGGCATCCACTGATAATGCAGAAGCGTTCTTTCGTGCCTTGAGGATAAAGGCCCCTCCGGTGAGAGAGAAGGCAAAACCATCCAAAATCATACGTAGGCTAACCTCAAGGCCTCTGCAGGCCGCCTGATCCCTGATGACCACAGCCGCATTAGAAATGTACAACACATCTTCTGTCTTCCTCACTAGTATAAGCATTAATCACATATGGACAATGCTCAATATGTTTATTTTCTTGCTTTGTCTCTACTCGCTTTAATCTGAGTAGAAAGTTTATGTATATGCTCCCACAAACACTGTATGTTTTTTTTTTTTATAATGGTTTTCAGAGATATTGGAAAAGCATTATATTGTGTGCATAAATGCTAAAAAATATATAAATTGGAAAATAAATAAATAAAATCTAAAAATAATAAAATAAAAAAAAAAATATATATGTAATTTTATTCTAACTGTATTTTGATATTAATATATATATATTACTATTAAAACACATTTAGAAGGGGCGGGGCCGGACCGCCATGCTGACCGGTCGCATGTAGGACAGGCTCCGGAGAAATCTTGTCTGTTAAGCCAAAATTCGCAGTCCTGGTACTCGACATGAGCACACAAGATACTCACACAGTGGTGGAAGAGGCGGTGGACCCCGAGATCGGGAGCTTTGGGTCCCCTGAGGGAAGCACGAAGCTTCGGGAGATGCGGCCTACTCGGGAGGAGAGCGGGGTGGACGGCCGCCGCCCTGCCTCCCTCCCCAACTGCCACACACCGGCTTTTCGAGGGGCTTGCCGGTCCCGTTTCCCCCCCCTGTGGGCTGGGGGGGTTATCCCAGCCCCCCTGCAGAAAGCTCAAGATGAGTGGAGATTAGGTGGCACGAGACCCCCAAGGCCTACCTTACAAGATGGCGGCAATGGCAAGCTATGCACCATCACGCCATCCACCGCGACAACAGACCGCAAAGCAAGTCCGGCGAGACATGCCGGGTACAGCATGGAAACATTACATGCAGCTACATCGCAGCTCAGGCTCACAACAAGCGAGGAGGGCTGGTCCAGGCAGATACAGAGGGGCTCAAGCTGCAACACCCACGGAACCCAGACACCCTGCCAGCCTAACGAAGAGTCCACATACCGGGAACCTTGCTCTGCCCATGCATGATGTCAGATGAAGGGAGTACGGGACTTTGTCTCTAGCATGGTGCCTGACTCCAACACCTGCCGAGTACTTGCCTTGGTACTAGAGACTTTCATTTCACGCCCAGATCAACTGCACTTACTAATACTACACCAGCAGGGGTGACAATGCCATGTAACTATCAACTGCCTTTAACTAATCAGGCACTAGAGACGGGCAGGCTTGGGGGGCTAAGCAATGTTTTGTTTTTGCTTTATTCTCTACTGTTTTGCCTACTTATATACATTCTCTGGTCTACGTCTGCCTCCTCACGTTTAACATATATGTGCCTAGCACGTGTTAAAATCCACTAGCTGTTCTTATAGTTAATGTGCACGTTTTATAACACGTTTGACTATTCCTGTCCTAACTAAATAACATATACTGTCGGCTTAACTAATGTAATAATCTAATATTCCTGAACTCACTAGCCTGACTTACTTATAGCTTACCTGCGTTAAAAAACAAAATAATTTTGTGCCTAAATATCAAGTGTCACATCTTGTATTGCATATTGAATTGTTATATACCTCGATCCCGCTGTTGTGGCATATTGAGGCTGTTTGTTTATTTGTGCACAACAAAAATAAAGAATTTAAAAAAAAAAAAAAACACACTTAGAATTTAATTTAATATATATATCTAGGTCTATATAAGTAAATAAAAATAATACAAAATATGTCCATATACATAATTACATACATAATTTCATAAATATACACGTAGACTTTAAATATAAAAAGATGTAAATATATTTAAATTCTACATGCATATTTATTTAATATTTTTACATAATTAAGTAATTTTATTGATTGCAGTTTGAGGGACCTGCCTGACAACCCAGGCCAAAAGTCCAGAGAATGTAATTTTCTAGCACTATATTTAACCCTGTAACTTTCCAAGACACCCTAAAACCTGTACATGGGGGTACTATATTACTCAGTAGACCTGCTGAAAACAAATATTAATGTTTCAAAACATTAAAGCATATCAGAGCAATGGTATTGTCATTTTTCACACACAAACGGCACTTTCACTGATGATATTGTTGTAATACGTTTTACTGTTTTGAAACATTAATATTTGTGTTCAGTGAAGTCTCCCGAGAATAACAGTAGCTCCCCATGTACAGGTTTTATTGTGTTTTTTTAAAGTTACAGAGTCAAATATAAGGCCGTTTTTTCACATTGAAATTTGCCAGATTGGTTATGTTGCCCTTGAGAGCATATGGTAGCCCAGGATATATATTTTTATATTTTTAAAATTTGGCATAGATTGGTGTTAAAATGGTTGCATGAAAAGAGTCAAAATACCCCAAGTTTAGGTTGTCTTCTTTTAAAAAATATATACATGCGAAGGGTTATTCAGGGATTTCCTGACATATATCAGTGTTACAATGTAACGTTAATTTTAAAAAAGAAATGGTTTGGAAATAGCAAAGTGCTACTTGTACTTATAGCCCTATAACTTAAAAAAAAAAAGCTAAGAACATGTTAACATTGGGTATTTCTAAACTCAGGACAAAATTGTGAAACTATTTAGCACAGTTGTTTTTTGGCGGTTGTAGATGTGTTACAGATCTTGTGGTCAAAGTTCGAAAAAGTGTGTTTTTTTAAAAAAAATTCATCATATTTTATAATTTTCTTTTATAGTAAATTATATGATATATGTGAAAATAATGGTATCTTTAGAAAGACCATTTAATGGCGAGAAAAACAGTATATAATATGTGTGGGTACAGTAAATGAGTAAGAGGAAAATTACAGCTAAACACAAACACCGCAGAAATGTAAAAGACCCCTATCCTTAACGGTAAGAAAATTGAAAAGCGGGCTGGTCACTAAGGGGTTACCATGTCATCGTTTCATTGTTTGATATATCTGAAAGCTAGTTCTCTTGTTTTAATGCGGGCACCCACTGACTGCTTCCTTGAGATGCATCAAGGATGAGCTGTTCACCAGCCCCCCATCCAAACATAGACCTACAATTTATATCTGTTTAATCTCCTAAATTCTGTTGGTTACTATTTAGCATATTGAAGGTTCCATGTGATATTCACACCATATGGTGGCCATGCATCAAGATCCACGCTTTAACTATAAGATAAGACTATTTTATCACATTGCCCCACTATAATTCATAAACAGATGGATAGTCTCGTTAGATGTCCTACAAATGCTTGGTTTTAGCTGTGAGATTAATAATTCATGTGGTTTCTAGATGGAAACGGTTACGTTTAATTATACAAACACAGTGTTTAGGATTTTCAGAATCTGTCCTATTGTAATGCTGGAGTTTTAGACTCAGATCTCCAGAGGGAATTATATCCAATCTCATTTCTACAGCTGAGTAGCAAATTAGAGCAACGTCTGTGATGGGTGAGGGCTGGATTCAGCTCAGTAGCTGTATCCATGTGCTGCTCCACTATATATATATATATACTGCTATATAATGATGTAATAAAAAAAATATATGTAAATATATAAATATAAAGCCGTTCCGTCAGGATTATTCAATAACCATGAAAAGTCAGGACTTAACAAGGAAATTTCACATTCTGGCAAAAAAAGATCTCTGTCCCAGGTATATTTCCCAGTCAGCTGTCTTATAATTTAGGATTTTTATAACTTTAGTGACTTAAAATCACAATTTAATTAAAGACATTATGATTTACTCTTTACTGCGCTAAAAAGCTGCAAATCACGTAAATCACTGCCAAACATGACAATATATAACATATAATTCAACCCACCAGGAACAGCCTCTCAATATATAATGCCGCGTCTCAAGTGTCTATTCCTCTTCTCTGACTGCGATGTTAGCTGAGCGAAATACAAACAATCTCAGGGAAAATTCTGACTGAAGAACTTCTCGCAGAAGAAACACTAGAGTAACAATGGAATCAATGAACGAATTTATCCATAACCTGTGGAAAACCAAGAACTATCTTAACGTAGACAAAAAAACATAACAACATCTACAAATTACTGTGGTGGGATATTAAAAGGGCGGGATAATACTCGCCTCCAGTCTTTAATAAAATTGTGTCTGTAAGTCACTAAAGTGATAAAAATCCAGAATTTTTCCACAGACATCAGAGGGTCAGTTAAAGCTAATAAAATCTCATTAACGGGAACACTACAGTCACCTTAACAACTTTAGCGTATAGATCATGCGTCTCGGGTTTCACTGCTCAATTCACTGCCATTTAGGCGTTAGATCACTCTGTTTCTGTTTATGCAGCCCTTGTCACGCCTCCTCACACAGCCTGCATGAAAAAAAAAAAAATTGGTTTCACTTTTAATCAGATGTAATGTATCTTAAATAGTGATGTCCCGAACGGTTCTCGAACAGTTCTCGAACGGTTCACCACGAACGGTTCGCCGCGGACTCATCATTGAGTAAACTTTGACCCTGTACCTCACAGTCAGCAGACACATTCCAGCCAATCAGCAGCAGACCCTCCCTCCCAGACCCTCCCACCTCCTGGACAGCATCCATTTTACATTCATTTGAAGCTGCATTCTTAGTGAGCTGTCCAGGAGGTGGGAGGGTCTGGGAGGGCTGGACTGCTGATTGAGTCCGTGGCAGCAGAACCGTTCATCGGGACATCACATCTTAAACAATTGTATCTCTTGCTCTGTAAATTGAACTATTAACATAGCAGGGGATAAGAAAATTGAAATTAAACAGAACTTGCAATAAAGGAAGGATAAACATTAGATGACTCTTTACAGGAAGTGTTTAGGAAGGCTGTGCAAGTCACATGCAGGGAGGTGTGACTAAGGTTCATAAGCAAAGTGATTTAAATCCTAAATGGCAGAGAATTGAGCGGTGAGACTTCAGGGACATGATCTATACACCAAAACAGCTTCATTAAGCTAAAGTTGTTTCAGTGACTACAGTGTCCCTTTAAATACTCTGTCTAGAAATATGACAATCTTCTTTGAAATAAAATAAAGTGTAAGTGGACTCAGATGACCAATTAGCCACTTTATTAATATCATGTAAACTACCACCTGCTTAAAAAAAACTGTCGCCATAGCGGCCCTAGAGGAACGTGCACCAAATGTTTAAACATCAATGCCTCCTAACCCATCCTGACCCTTCTAAAGTCTTAGTAGATACAGGAACAAAAGGTCTTCAAAATAAATTAGTAATTGAGAAAAACTTGAATTCTTAACACGTAAAGTTCTTTTTGCTTACATTTTTAAACATTGTACTACATATAGTTTTGGTTTATCTTAAAGACAAGGATAAAAATCAGATTACATCATAGTTTCAGGAGTAAAATGTCTATAAGTAATATGTAATGCTTCAACATCTGATATACTTATAAAAGAAATCAAAAGACACAGAAGGGTTGGGCAGTGGGGGTGGGGGGTGGGGCAATGAGACACACAGAGAGGCTGGGGGGGGACAAAGACAAAGAGAGGGATTGGTGGGACAAAAATACACAGAGAGGGACGGAAGGGGACACAAGGAGACACACAGAGAGGCTGGGGGGACAAAGACAAAAGGAGGGATTGGTGGGACAAAAAGACACAAAGAGGGACGAAAGGGGACACAAGGAGACACACAGAGAGGCTGGGGGACAAAGAAACCCACAAAGAGGGTGGGGGGACAAACAGACACAAAGATGAGCTGGGGGGACAAAAGGATACAAAGTGGGGCGAGGGGGGACACAAGGAGACACACAGAGAGGGTGGGGGGACATACAGACACACAGATGAGCTGGGGGGACAAAAGGATACAAAGTGGGGCGAGGGGGGACACAAGGAGACACACAGAGAGGCTGAAAGGGGCACAAAGAGAAACACAGAGGGGCAGGGAGGACACAAGGAGACACACAGAGGGGCTGGGACACACAAAGAGACACACAGAGTGACTGGGACACACACAAAGACACACAGAGGGGCTGGGGGGGGAACAAATAGACACACACAGGCACTGGGGGGGACAAAGTAGTTTCATGTTTTATGCCC